ATGATTGTTCTTGTTTAACGTGCATCTCTCGGGCTTGAAATTGTTCTTTCTTATGTGAGTTGTTTCGATTAGGGATTGATATATTCTTGCTTGATTGATTGATATAATCGAAGAGTGACACTTCGATCTTGCAATTGGTAACAATTGAATGTTGATTAGTCGAGTTAGGGTTTTGTTGATTCTATGTGATTAGTCGATTAACACTCTTCTAGTTAAATTAGCGACTTTTTGAACCGAAAGGGGAGAAGTCGTAGACTTAGGCTCACATGAGGTAGACGATGTCGTAATTGACTAATCTACGTGTTTTAGATTGAAATACGTACTTGTCAATGACCCGTCCCTTGTCACGAAAAGTTATTGGGATTGGGATAATTGGCCTGTGTCGTATGCTCGAACTTGTTCGTCCATGTTCAATCCCTTGTTACGTAGAGTTATTGGGAGCGAACCGCTGGATGTCTAAGCGAGAGTGTCAATCTTGAACCGAACAATTGATTGCCCGGTTTTGCTAGAACTTGAATTAATCATCCCCGACTCCCTAGCTTCTTTTTCATTGTTTCGTTTATTTTCTTAGGTAGGTTATTGCTTTTTATTATTTCTTAGCTGATAATTATTCATCCATCCTTATTCGATTAGAGTGTTTAGGTTTGTTTTCTTTTTATGTGTTATCGATATCAAAACTAAGTTCCAAACAGCCTTCCTCGTGAGATCGACCCGGGGAACGAATCTTTAGATTCGGTACTCGGTAAAAAGAATAATTTGTACACAACATTATTCGTCACCTTGAAGTTCATCACGGCCACCAATCTTGTCTGTTCCGGCGCCGGTACATTCTTAGAGAAAAAGACTCGGGTCTTCTCGGCGCTCACACAAAGCCCTGACCGAGAGCAAAAATCCCCTAATACTTGTCTCAGGGCTAGCGCATGATCGTCCGAGGCCTCGAGAAAAAGAAGAAGGTCATCCGCAAACATCAAAAAGGGCACCTTCACCGCATTTCTGCCAACCGAGATAGGTCTCCATTGGTGATCCTCTACTGACTGACAAATACGCTGGGCCAGCCTCTCCATGCAGAGTACGAATAAGTAGGGGGAAACGGGATCCCCCTGTCGGACACCACGTGTAGGGCGAAATTCCTCTCCTATCGACCCGTTCCATAATAGGTTCATCGACGCAGAGCTCACGCATGCCATAACTGCTCGAACGAGTTTAGGAGGAAAGCCCGCCAACCGTAAAGTCCCATCTCAAGGTAATCATAAGCCTTTTCGAGATTCGATTTATTAACATCCAATAATATGACACTGGATGGAGAGAGAAACTAAAGCAAATGACAAATATTTATGTTCCACATCATTTACATCACTATTGAATGACTTTTCACATTCTCTCATAAATTGCTTTTTCTCTTTCTATAATCTCTTTATTTTTTTTTTCCAAATATAATTTCATTCACACTCACACAAATTTGCACTTTCACATAAATCATAGGCACGTACCAATACCTCTTTTAATATTATTATATTATATTCTTTTTATGCCTACTTATTTTATTTATGTGAAAAGTAAATTATTTGATGGTGGCTTTTTATAATTATTTTTCATTTAATGTTGTTCACTAAAAATTAGGGTTGGGCAAAAAATTCGAACTGAACCGCTGAATCGTAGATCCGAATCGAAATCGAACCGAATTTTTGGTTAACCGGGGTACTCGGTTCTGTTACAAATACCTCAAAGGAAGTATTTGCTCGGTTCGGTTTGGTTACGGTTTTTAGGATTTTTTTACCCCGGTTAACCGAACCGAACCGAACCATATATTATATTAAAATTTATAATATATATATATATATATATATATTATATATTATATATTAAATTTATATATATTAAACTAATTTATATTTATATATATTAAACTATATATATTAAGTTTGCTCGGTTCTCGAATTAACCGAACCGAACCGAACCGAGAAAACCTAACACAGAATTGTATTAGGTTTGCTCGGTTCGGTTAATTCGCGAATAGTAGGATTTTTTTCGGTTAACCGAAATTTTCGGTTCGGTTCGGTTAGCAAATACTTGAAAAAACTCGGTTACTCGAACAGTGCCCAACCCTACTAAAAATGCTATAGATAGGATTTAAGATGTATCCAAGATTAGTTTTAAAAATATTTAAATAAGTTTAATACTTATTTAGAATTTATTTTGTAATTTTTTAGGGTTGATTTGTAGTTTTGTCCGATTCACCATTTTTTAAGTTATTTTTATAGGATAATTATTTATTTTATAATCCAAAAATAGCTATAGATAAAAAAGATCTCTCATGCAAATAATTGATAAATAGTAAATTTTATATATGTGATTAACTACCCTTAATCTTTTTATCAATTTACTCCAAAAAAATTCAATAAAAACTCAAATTTAACTCAACTTTAACTCAACACACTATCTCCAATATTGTCAATATAATTAAACTCAATCAATCATTCAACTAATCATTCTTACACATCACATCAACTTTAATTCACTATTCATCCACTCACATAATTTTAACTAACAATCATTTCCAATCATTTTTCTTTTACTTTTACATCATATCAACTTTAATTATTTTATTTTAAATATTATATTAATACATCCACTAACAACTAATCATACTAACTTTTTTTAAAATTAACGATAGTTAGAAAAAAAACCAATTAATTTCTAGATGAATTCATAAACAATCACCCCTAAATTTTGTGAAAACACTCGTGAAGATGTATCTTTATTGCATCATACTTAGCTTATTGTTGCTAGCTTTTAGCATGAAGTTGTATCTTATATTTGAGATTTTATAAATTCTATCATTCTTAGGAAAAAAATATCGTTATTGGTATTATATAATTTCTAACATTTTTTGTTAGAAAAAAAAATTAATTAGGGTATTATTTTTGCATTTGGCCCAGGGCCTACTAATATTTAGGACCGGCTCTGCAGGATTGAATTTTTTTTTAAGCTGCTCGAGCTCGACTCGAAATCAAAATGCTCGAGCTCGGCATGAAAATTTTTAAGTGAAATTACCATTAAGCATTTGTGTTATACTATTTAAATATATATATAAGAATAATTTAGTAATTTAACACATATATCGAGTCGCTCGACAATGTAAAATATGGGTTCGAGTTCGACTCAAGTGGAGCTTTGACTCGAGCATTCGTGAGCCGCTCAACTCATTTGAAGCAATTATCTATGTAAAATTTGAACTTTACCAATGGATTTTCTCGTCCGCAATTTGCGGGATAATATGTAGAGTCAACTTATTGTGCAAATGTGCACACACACGACAACACAATGTGGAGAAAATAATGAAATCAGAAAACTACGTCAAAATTACGTCAAAATCCCATATTTTAAATCCCTGATTTTCTTAGCCAAAAGTGGATAATAAGTCCACAGTTTATCCATAATAATGACGTAACAATGGTAGGCCCGACGACGTCACAAGCCCGTCTCGTGATTGACAGTCTCCCAGATAGCTGCATGGAAAATTGTTGACATTATTGGACTTTGTACGAAATTTCTAATATCAATGAATTATTAGGGGTATTCAACCTGTTCGAATCGAATCGAATCGAAATTAATGATTCGATTCAGTTTCGAACCGAAAATCGATCGGTTGGATCGGTTTATATCAAGAAAAGGCAACAGTGATACATGTCAGTTTTATAATTTTGTTGAATCAATTTTTATATAAAATTCAGGCAAGAAACAGTGGAACTAAAAAGAAAAAAAAAATAATAAAAAAAAAGAGAGAAAATATGCTGGCCACAACTGGAAGTGTAGTACGAAGTAATATAGGTGTAGTACGAAGTAATATAGGTGTCTGCACTCACGGTGAATAAGCGGCGGGGCCACGGCGGGCCCGGGCAACAACCACCGCTAACGCCGCCACTTGCCCTCCGTGCAATAGTAGTTTTTTTGTACTTATGTAAAATCTAGAAAAAAATTAAATAAAAATACAAATTTTATTTTGCAGACTAGACTAGTAAGGCCGTGTTTGGTAAACCTAGATGATAGCTGATAAACTATAAGCTAGCTGATAGCTTATATAGTTGATGAATTAATTAATGTTTATTAAAGATGTTTGACAAAAATAACTGATAAACTAGCTCCGTGCAATAGTAGTTGTTTTGTACTTAAGTAAAATCTAGAAAAAATTAAATAAAAATTCAAACTTTATTTTGCAGACTAGACTAGAAAGGCCGTGTTTGGTAAACCTAGATGATAGCTGATAAACTATAAGCCAACTAATAGCTTATATAGCTGATAAATTAATTAATGTTTATTAAAGATGTTTGGCAAAAATAACTGATAAACTAGTTAAAAAGTATAATTACTTGACATTTAAAAGTATATAGTTTTAGATTAATAATATTCATAATTTTTTTCATAAATATGAATATTACATTGTTATTTTCATTGATCATAAAGTATGCATCAAATATGCAAATTTTATTGTAAAAAAATTAACATCTACAAAAACCCCCCAATTCTGTTCTCCAATTTCTCAATCCATCATCTTCTTATTTGAGTTATGTGTTGATGAACCACAATATATTAACAAAATAATAATAATAATAATAATAATAATAATAATATAAAGAAAAAGCCTGAATAAAATAATCACTGAAAAAAGAAAATAAAAAATGTATAGTGACAAATGAAATTACTGCCACATGGCCTTGTTTATTCTGTCACAAGAAATATTTTTAATAAACCCACA